AGGAAGGGAGCAGGAAGGAAGAATCTAGAAAGGAAGGAGCCAGAAAGCTGGAGGGAGAGGGCTATGGAGATGGGGCAGAAGTCAGGACGGGTGAGGGCTGGCTGGCTGACGTCGTGAGTGGGGACAGCCTGCATGGGATGTGACACACAGCGTCACATCGAATCCCAGCAGTGCTGGGAGCTGGGCTTTGTCAGGGTCTGTCTCCATCTCTGGTGAGGTGAGGATGCCCCACCCAGCATGTTCCCCCTTTAACCATAATCTCTGAGTGCTCCCCTCAGCCACTCCCCCCAGTATAAGCTCAATGCCATCACTCAAAACCAAGAAATCCCCCTGACTTACACGCCCCTCTCGCCATCACCCCAATCCCCACCTTCTCAGTCAAGCTCTGGGGGACAGCAGGTGCCACTCATTGTCCTGCCTGCCTCAGCCCCCAAGCACGCTGTCATCTGGGCACTGCGCCTCCCTCCTGCCCCTCCAACCACGCTTCTTCCCTTGCCCCTCTTCTCCACCCACCTTTCCTCTGCCTGCTTTAGTCCTGCCGGTGGTGCCTGGGTGACCACATCAGCCTGCCCTCCTGCCTCCAGGCTTGCTTCTCTCACGGCCACCCCACGCCGCCACCAGGGGGAGCACATGGCATTTGGGAGCTGAGGTTCCCGCCCAAGGGCCAGGCCCTCAGCACCAGGGCGCCTTCCACCAGGAAGATCCACCCCTCTCTCTCAGAGACGACTAGTCTCACTTTCAAGATTTCACTTGGCCTTCTGTTTCCTAATGGAAGCCATTCCTGAGCTCAGGCCTTTCCTGGGCCGCTGGCAGCAGTGCTTGTTGGGCCTCCACAATAGGGCTCACCCCACTGAAATGCTTTGTTCGTACGACCACCGGCCCACGGGCTGTCAGGCTGTGTCAGGCTGGCGTCAGGCTCTGTGTCGTGACAGCGTTTAATGTGGCCCACGGCGCTCTGCAAAGCAGGAGGGGAGCAGACCTGGACACCAGGACGCACTAGGGCTAGGGGTGAATCGGTGGCTGCATCAACTCTCCTGCATCCACAGAGGAAGTGGCAAATCCCAGGGAAGGGGAAGCCCAAGACAGGGGAGTAGGGTGGAGGGGAGGGAGGGATTGGGTGTTGCTCGGAACCCCAGCTTCATCTGCTCGTTCCTCCCCTGCCTCTTCTTCCTCCCCTTCCTTCCAGAGCATCTTCCTCAGGGCTGTTGGCAGAGGGGTGGAGACGGGGTTCTGGATAAGTGACCGCGTCGGAGTCAAGGGTGATTTCTGCTATGGAGCCCAGGCAGTGATGGCCCCACCCGGTAGAGGGCAGGCGCTTGGTCAGTGTTCGCTCCCTTTCCTTCACCTCTCTGAGCAGCAGGCAGGTGAGCTGGAGCAGGGGGCAGCCAGGCCGCACTAGCTGAGCGCCCACACGCGTGTCAGCAGACAAGCCCCAACCTCCCTGGCTCTGCACCCTTTGGCGTGTGCCATGATTTTCTCACTGGATGAACTGCACTGAGAACTAAGAATTAGTTCCAATGGAGAAAATGTCCGCCAGAAAAGGACACCTGACTTCTCGACATGGATATTCTGACGTGAGGACATTGTGATTTGGTCTAAAAGGCCAATGATGAAAATCACCTGCTTCTTTGATACTAGGTTATGTGACCAACAGACATCATCCTGGCCTGGAAGCTTATCCAGGGTCAACAATATGTGAAGGTCAGGAATAGCTGTTCCAGTCTTTATTTGGTTTAAAAAAAAAAACAAAACAGTATTAACAAAAACCCAGACACAGTGCTGTTTTCTGGTTTTGATTCTTCCATCTCAATGTGCGACTCTATCAGGCCAGTTCTAAAGAGTCCCCAGATCAAAATGTCCCCTCTGCCCACTTGGGTGCTTCACAGTATACTCTGCGCTGAAAAAAAAAAATTTAGGGCCTCCCTGGTGGCGCAGCGGTTGAGCGCTGGGTTGCAAAGCTGCCTGCAGCCTCTGCAGCACCAGTTCCATCCCTGGCTGCTCCCCGGCCACCAGAGGAGGGGCCCGCATGGCGCGCAGACCTCTCCTGGGCTCTGCTCCCGCTCTGGCTCTGGTGAATTCTCTCACCCTCCCATGCTTCTGACTGTACCCAGTGCTTGTATAAACAAACAAATAAATAAAAATCTTAAAAAAAAAAAAAATCCAGCTCCTCATGGATGTTTCCAAGGAGGTGCTCGCCCGGCCATGCTGGGGCTACGGGCTTGATATTCCAAAGGGGCAAATGGAAGCGGGTCTCTGATTTGGGCTGGGCGGAAAGCAGGAGAGCAGCGGTTCATGCAGATCAGAAGCATGGCTAGCCTTAGCTACAGCTGCAATTAATAAAACATGGGGAAATGAATTAATTATTATTTAATAAGTACAGTTTGGCAGGCAAAATCTTGCAAAACCCAGACCCATCTGAGAAGTCTTAAAAGTGTCCTGGAGGCAGTGAATTCAGGGATGAAAGGAAGTCGGTGGGTCAGGCTGCTCCCGGGAGCGCTGCCTGGCTCTGGCCTGGTGCCTGGCTGCTCCAGCTGATTTCCCTGCTGGCCACCAGGGAGCATCCAGAGCATACGGGCACAAGCACCTTCTCAGCCAGCCAGCAGGTGTTATTGAGCCCCATGTCTGCCCTTGAAGAGGGGGAAAGAGTCTGGGGAGATGAAATTGTCAGAGGTGGGTCTGATTGACACTGTCATGCGGGCCTGTGAATAGACCAAGAGGACCCTATGGTGGTGCATCCTGTTTGTCTCCGTTTGTGAGAGAGGCAGCGGGGGTCTTCCAACAAGTCTGGCTTTGGAGTTGCCCTGGCAGGCTGCGACAAAGGCCCTTGCTGGGGGTCTTCCATTGCAGGCCTCTGTCTGCTTACAAGCTCCTCTGCTTGCTTCTTCACATTGCTTTCTGAATACGGGGGTTTGCACCCAGCCCAGGCTGGTACATGCCCTGCAGGTGCGGGACCCTCCCCTCTCGGGCTCTCTTTCCAGAGGCTTCCGGAGGTGGGAGATGCATGATCCCTGTGCCCACCCTGTTTCCTGTCCCTCTGTCACCTGCGTGCCCCTCAGTGTGGGCTTTAGTGGAAAGAACACAGACTTTGAGCCAGAGGACTCTGGGTTCAAACCCAGTGTTGCCACTGCCAGCAGCCTTGGATCTTGACTTCAGTTTCCTCTTGTGGAGACAAGGAATCTCAACAGGGACAATGATGAGGACACCTATCTTGCTGCTAAAAGGAGGAGAAACACTTGGAGAGTCCTCTACCCCCTTCTCTCTGCGATGACCCATGGAAATGGGACCTGGCTGCTTGGTGTGGTGGGGTGACGTCTTCTGCCACTTACGGGGGATGCACGGAGCTAGAGCAGCTTATCTGACTGTAGCCCGACCTTGTTATTGCGTTTCTGCCCAGATGCCATTTAAAAAGCACTTAGGCGCTCCCCCAAATGCATTTATGCTGAGGTCCCAGGGGTGCAGCTGCCACTGAAAATGGCAATTTGAGAAGCCCCTCTCCTTCCCAGAGGGCTGAGGATGTGCTGGGGGCCGGGGGCGAGGGAGGGGAAGGGGCCCACATCTCACTGACTCAGCCTCAGGGGGCATTTGCGCCACCAGCAGGAAAGATGATGCTTCCTGGTTAAACAGCTGGGTCTAGGGGAGGTGCCACAAGGAGCTGTGCTCAGAAGTCAGGAGCTGCAGCTTGTTTCTGGACTGTGTGACCGTGGGGAGGTTCCTGACTCTTCCAGCTTCTGTTTCCTCACTTGTGGAGTGAGGACTGCAACCCTGGCCTTGCCCGCCTCAGAGTTCACGTGAGTGAAACTGTGATCAGAAATCGTTTTTAGAAAGTCTGAGTCTGTCCCATAGGGAACGCTCCAAGCGTGCTCACGTCTTGCCCCCCTCCTCCCATGTACCCCTCTCCTCCTTGACAAACACTCCCTGACTTGTTTTTGCAAGGCCAGCAGAGCTTGACTGGGAGAAACTAGCAGAGGGAGGTTCTAGCAAGTTGTCCAGCTGCTCTGTTCTAGGGTGCACCTGCGACCCCTAGAAGCAGCAGCCAGGAGCAGCTCTATGAGGTCAGACCCTCCAACTCCCCATGAAGAGCACAGGCTAAGCTCCTCCCCATTTGACTTGCAAAGAAGCAAGAACAACCCCTACACCTGCACTTTGGGAACCCCCTTCCCTTCTTCCTCCTTCCCCCAGCAGCCCAGACTCCTCTGCTCCCTCCACTCACTCCTGAAAGCCCCAAGCCCTATGAAGGGTGGGAGGCAGATTTCAGCCAGCTCCTGCCTCCATAGTTGATGGGTCACGTAATAAAGCTTCTCCCTGCCTTAGGACTGTTGTCAATGAGTTTTTGCAACAGGCAAAGGGCCCCCATTAGGTAGAGTAACATGAGGACTATTGTCAAGGATCCGGTCCTCAGGGACCTAGTTATGAAATTCAAAAGCCCAGAACTCACTCCAGACCCACAGGACCAGGAGTGGCCCAGCATCGGTGATTGAACGCTGCTCCCCCACGGCTGAGAACCACCGGGCCAGGCCTTGCCATGAGTTTCATGGCTTTCAAGTGGCCAAGGGCAGTTGGGACTCCCCCAGGCTGGCCCCGCTCTAATGGGAACCTGTGGGGTGGGGGTGGGGGTGGAGAACAGGGGCTTTACTGGAGAGTGAAGGCCCAGGAAAGGAGGCTCAGAGTAAGAACATCACCTTTCATGTATTTTTGTTTCCCAGACATTTTTACACACACTGCCTCACTTGAGCAGCATCAAGTAATACTCAAAAACCAGGCTTCCGTTGTTACAGTCACCACGAATGAAGACAGTGTCCTGGAGCGAGCATATGCTCCTTGAGGACAGAGGTCACATCTTCCTCTCTTGCCATATTCCATTGATCCAAGTCCTCCCCATCTCCAGCCCAACCCCCCTTGGTGGGCTGGGGTGCCCAGGGCGCATGCACTCCCAGGCAGGACCCCTCCCCTTTGGGAGGGTGGATCTGCCCTTCAGCCGCTGCCCCCACCCCCATACGCACCTGTAGGTGTCAGTGGCAGGCACCTTCCAGGTCTGGATGCCCTTCAGGGGGCCCTCGCTCCCCACCACCACGCTCAGGTTGGAGTTCCGGTAGGCATTGTTGCACTGGGCCTGCGTGGGGCCGTAGGGCCCGCTGGCCCCACACGTGGTGAACAGCCAGTGAACTGTGGCACAAGAGGAAAGTCAGTCACTCCCGTGGCCTGGCACCCCCACCTCCACAGGCCTCCCAGGGCTGCCTTCTAGGTGCCTGCTCCATAGCCCCCAACCCATATCCCAAGATGGCACCAAGGCTGGGGAAAGAAAGCCCAGTCATTTAAACTGGACATTTCTGTGGAGGGTCCTCTGTGGGCCAGGCTGTGGGCCTGACACAAGAGCAGAGACACATGAAGCAGACTTAAACCCTGGTCTTAGGAAGTCTACAGCCTATTAAGGGAGACCAAAAGGTGATAAAAACAAAACAACAGACCCCCAAATTGAATCACTTATACGAAGCCCCATGTCACCCAAAAGAAGCTTAACTACAGTCCCAGCTCTCCCAGAAATGGAATCTTACACTGGACCATGAGGAATCGCCACTAATTAGGCAATTTGCCATCCTCTGTAGGAAAGGAATCTTGCAATAACCAGCCAGCTTCCCCTCTGGCATAACTTCCTGCTCTTGCTCCCTTCTGTCCATAAGCCTTTCATTTTGTGTGGCTCCTCAGAGGTGACTTCTATCTCCCAGGCTGGATGCCTGATTTGAATAGGTTTTTGCATAAGTAATCACCTAGAATGGTTTACTGTACCTCAGTTTATCTTATAACCAAGGGATGCAACCGTCCACCACATAGGACAGTAGCAGTGAGGAAGCCCTGGGAGGGCCTGGCTGATGCTGACCGTGGGGGCTCTGAGGAGGAGAGAAGACCCTTGTAGGTGAGACAGGCACAGGCAGTGCGGGGGTCCTCTCCCAGTTTCTCACAGAATCCAGCACATGCTGAGCAAAAACGGGCTCAGCCTGAGCTATTGTGGCTGAATGTGACCTGCCCCTAAAGGTCTGGCTCCGGAATGTAGGATTCTTGAAGCTTGGAAAAAATGGAAAGCGTGACCTGGACACAGTCACTCCATGAGGCCCCAGCGGCCCGGCATGCGGTGGGAGAGGAGACACTACACTCCTGGCCAGTCTGTCTCTCTGTCCGGCCCTTCACAGGTCTCAGCCTCTTTATTCACAACCAAGAGGGGTCTGAAGTGCAGTGAACACCTGGGGCTCTATGCCAGCGTGTAAGGGATGGGCAGGTGGCTCTGTCTTTGTTTTTTCATTTTATTTTATATTATATATTTTTACATACTTTTTCATTTTTGCACAATGTATGCATTTTCATCTTGGCTATAGTCCCCATATCCTTCCCACTCCCCTGGTTTTGATCCTACTCCCTCCTCCACATGCTGTAGTGTGTCTCTGGTTTATAGTCGCTTGTTGATTTTGATTTTTACTTTATGGTCTGTCTTTGCTGCATGTTCTTCACTTCCCATTTCAGCTGCTGCTACTTCCTAGTGTTCTGTCCTCACTTGGAGCATCTCAGGTGTGTCGGTGACCTTCTGGGGTGCTTTGGGAACACTCAGCACACCTCTCCCTCCTCCACCACTGGGCCATTTCCTTTCAAACCTTCTATCTTTTAAGCCAGGCTAGATCTTGGGGAATTGTCAAATTTCACGTTGGCCAGAGTTCTAACACTTTTACAACCTATAAAAACTTTAAAGAAAAATGTGTTCTTGATAAATTACTTTTACTTAAAATACAAAAATCTCATTAAAAGATTGTAGAAATTATTTCCCTGTAAAGAGATTAGGTTAAATTCTACCCTCCGAAAGTGATGGAAAATTTCATGCAGATGTATATAGCTTTGTTCGCTAAAATGTTAAGGTGAAATCTTTTTGAAGAGTTTCAACTAATTTAATGATGCAAATATGAAAGGTTATTGAGTTGTTAATTACAAGCAATCAGATTGAGATTACACTGGGCAGGTTTGATCATCTGAAAACTAGGTCAGCTGTGGGGAGCTTTTGTGACTCTGCTCTGGCCCAAGGTCAGGAGACGAAAGTTCTAGATGGGGTTCCAACACACGCAGCCGCTCAGCACTGAGTACACTTTCTCGGCCTCCTTTTTTTTCAAATGAAGGTCCTGATTTTAATTTGGTATCTGAAGGTCATTTGAATGGCAAGAAGATGATGAATCTATTCATCTTTGGTGTGAATAGCTGATTGTTAATTTTCTGATCCATTTGTATTCTAAAAGTGTAACCTGTTAATTCAAAGGATTACTTCTCTATAGAAGTCGTTTTAGCAGGCATTTAGCTGTCTCAGGCTGCTGCCCCGTTACCCTCTCCAGTGCTCAAATTCACGAGTGGGCTGTCCCACAGGGGTAGAGAGGAAAGGATGCAGACTTTGAAACCAGCAAGAACAATTGGGTTTGGGGATACCCTCATCCCTGAATGGAACCTTGATCAAGTTCCTTCATTTGTAAAAGGGGCTGGATTGGCATAAGGGTAAAAGAAGAGGTGGGAAAGGTCATTGCAAGCTTTCAAATGAGAGTTTTGTGCCAATAATTCACATCTGTCCCCAAGATATGCTGCTTCTGACAACAGGAAATGTGGCCAGGGGAGTGGATCCTCTGCCAGTAGCACCAATACTCGATGGTAGTGACTTGGGAAGGATGGGGGCAGAGAGAAAGAGAAGAACACAGAAAGTTCTTCTCCCATGGTGTCCAGGTCCTTGCAGCCTATTCTGCAGCTCCAGACTGTGCCTGGAACAAGCAAGCAGCCTGGGTTTGGGGGCTGCTTATTCTAGGGCAGAATGATGGCCTGGAACTGAGAACACACAGGATATTCATACAGATATTTTTCTCTCTGTGTGTGCTAAGGAAGAGAGCTGAAGGCCTGGGCTTAGTACTCCACCCAATTATCTTACCTTCATTGGGACCCACTTCTAACTTCACCCCATGGTAGTGACTTGGGAAGGATGGGGTCAGAGAGAAAGAGAAGAACACAGGAAGTTCTGAGATGTTCCCAGGGACACCGGGCTCTGCTTCTTGGTTGGGAAGGAGACTTGGTGAAGTGGCAAGAGGAGCATGAGCTTGGGATCCAGATGGACTAAATTTTCTCATGCTGGATTTTGTCCTTGACCAGCTCTGAGACCCAGCCTCTCTGAGCCTGTTACTTCCTTCTTTTTCTTTTATAGGATGTTAAATTTTGTAAATGCTTTTTTCCTGCCTCCATTGAGGAGGTCATATAATTTTACATTATTAATGTGATACATTAATTTACTGATTACCGATGTTGAACTGTCCTTGCATCCAGGGATAAATACCACTCAGAAAGGTACAGGATCTTTTTAACATGATGTTGACTTTGGTTTACTAGTATTTTGTTGAGCGTTTTGGCATCTATAGTTATCAGTGATATTGATTTATAGTTTTCCAAATCTCAATTTCTTAACATGAAGAAACAGAGATAGTAACACCTACCACTTACATGTTCTACAGGAGCTCATGAGGACCTACGCAAAGTGTTAGGCCAACCCTTGGCATTGGAGATGCTTAATGAGCAAAGTTTACAAAGCCTGTGATTTCCTGTTCAGTTTCTGAATGTGGGAAATATTGAATGTGGGACACCCAGTCTCAAGATTTATGTTCCCCACTCTATAAAGGAAGGACTCTTGGGCCATTTCTCAATAAAGGGAACTGTATTTTCCCAAGTCAGTGGACATTTATTAGTCTCAGGTGGTTTCTACACACAACATTTTATTTTTATTTTTAGGGATTTCCGATGGAAAGGTCCAGAGAGGGAACTTTTCTAAATTGTCCTCCATGGGAACAGAGGGTTTGCCACCCAGCCAGCTCCTGAGGCACGGTGGTCCTCTCTGCTCCTCTGGATGATGCTGGCCCTCCTAAATCTGTCCCAAACTGTTTGGAATCAATTTATGTTTCTCAGCAGCACCCCCTCTTGGGGAGCACGGGGTTTCTGAGTTGCTGTTCATTGTGCTAGAAGGTCCTGCTCTTACGTGTGGGGCTTGTCTGGCTCAGGCTTCATCCTGTCTGTCCCTTTGATCTGCTGGGAATCTCCTTGACGATGGAACCTTGGATAGCGCTGAACTTAGTGGCTCCCAAACCACTTGAGAACCTTCAAAATACACATCCAGGGTCCTGGGATGCAGGTTCAGTATCTCCTAGGTTGGTGGGAGGGGGATACTTGTACTATATAAAAACCTTCTCAGGAGAATCAGCCAGATTTGTGAACTAGTTCTATCTATTTTATTGTCCAGATGGGGAAAGAACTTCATAGAGAAGGGCTGTGACTTTTCTGAGAAAGTCAGCATTGGAGAAGGAGCCACACTGGGGGTTCCTCCTTCTTTGTCCAAAGATCCTTTGGTGATGGTCAGGCTCACCCCAAATTTCTGCCTTGAAGGCTTCCAGCCTTTTCAGATTGTCCCTACATGAGTCCTGATCCCCCTGTGTTCTTTTCAGGACCTTTTAAAAAATGCTAGCATCTGCTATTTGAGCTGAGTTCACCAGAACTGGGGGTTCCTGTGGGGATTATTCAAAGGGAATAATCACTGTTCTTCTTTATTCCTAGTGTCCCTCTGGAGGTGCCCAGCCCTGTGCTGGCCTCTGAGCTGAGCCTTGCCGGGAACAGAGTTCAGATGCCTACATGGGGGGTGAGATGGGGTGTGGCTGTGAGTCTGGCCGTATGAGCTGTTGTGGGCCTAGGAGGGCCTCATGGGGGGACCCTGGGAGCAAAGGGACCTGGCAAGTACTTCAGGCAGGGTGGGCATAAGATCAGGTCTAAGCGAAGGCAGACAGAGTTAGAAGCATGAGAGGGAAGGCCTATGCTGGGCTGGTTTTTGCAAGTGTCTCTGGGTCTAGAAGACATCGGGGACACCATTGCAGGTGAAAGCAGGCAGGCCCAGCATCTGAGAGGCCAGGGAATGAGCACAGTGCTTCTAGGGCAAGGCCCAGGTGAGCTGTCTGTTTCCTAACTTGTTTTGTCCTTCTTTTTGGTAAGTGCATGTGGGACCCTGAACCTCAGATACCTGAGAAGTACACTCCACTCATGAAGGGGGCAACTTCTCAGTAATCCCTGTGCCCCCGACCTGAGTCAGTCACTATGCTTTCACACAGGCACTGAGTGCT